GAATCTTTCGAACAGAAGACGATAGAATATTTTGTTCTGTTAATTTCTTCACATCCATTTCAACTCGCTCTCTTTCATTCTCTCCATCCCATTCAAATACCAATGGTCCTTTTTCATCTCTTTGAATCCTGACTGTTGCACGAAGAGCTGCACTGATTTCCATTAAAGATTTTCCTCCATTCGCTTGGAATTCAGATGGATCCATTTGTACTGTTATTCTGATGTCCGTTAGATAAGCCTTCGTTTCTGTTTGATTGGTACAATCTCCACCATCAAATCCACATCCAACTGTATCACATTCCGAATCACACACACCATTTGAATATCTTCCAGCACAATATTCTCGAATCTTCGCAGGACATCTGACTACACCCGGCATACAATCCATTCCATCATAAAGGCATTCTTCATTATTACATGCTTGATTACAGACTCCATTAGAAAATAAATCAGCACACATATTTCCATATCGACACTTCGAAAATGGCTCTCTTTTTCCAGAACAATCTCCTCCATCGAATTTACAGGCAGCATAATTACAGTCTGAATCACAGTTTCCGTCCTTTGCACGTTCCCAACATTTCCGTTTCTCACAGACAGATCGGAGTAAACTGAAATTAAATATTTTGAATTAATTAATAGAATTCCAATGAAAACTTACAATTCCTTCTCACTGAACATTCCCAAATTGATCTTCTCTTCACATCGAATTCCAGTATATCCATAAGAACATTCACATTTTGAAGATTTTTTATCTCGAAGACAAATTCCTCCATTTTTACATGTGTTATTGGTACAGAAGAATCGTTTTTCGAGTTCACATCGTTCTCCATAGAATCCATTTGGACAGTCACACGAGAAAAATTCACGATTGTCTTGATGACAGATTCCACCATTCGCACATGGATTCTCAAGGCACCGATCTGAATAAAAGAATTCCAGGATGTTGTAAAAACTAAAACAATCACTTACCTTTACGTCGTTCACAAATATCTCCTTCGAATCCTTGTTGACACAGACAAACGTAGCCAATATG